GAGAGCCGCCCGCTCCTGAGAGGATCGGGGGCATCGGAGTTCATGGAATCACAGAAGCCGAATGGCGACAAATTTTCTCATTTGACCATATAGAGACGCGAATTACATGGCGCCACTTGTCCAAAAGACCATAGAACAGTGTCAATACAGTACCTCTCGTACTCAATGCCCCGCACCCCTCGCACACTATGCCCTATCAGGGCACTTCAATTTCAAATTTACTCCTAAACCCATAGTGTTGCGCACAGAAATGCTATATGCAAACGCAAAATTTTACACATTTAGAGCAAAGCAACCAGTGCGCTAAATTTCGAAAATTTAGAGATTTTTCCCAGCTGGCATGTCAACTGGTGCGCTAATCGCTATTTTCGGTTGCTATTCGGAAGCACCAATCTCTATATTCATTTCTTTCCTGGCGCAGGATAGAAATGGATATAGCACGCAACCTCCCAAAATTCAACGACATTTTTAAATCACTATGACCAATCATCTTTCGAGTGCTAAATGCACCGTGCTTCAGACCCCTTGTCTTGGCGCGAAGTGCGAAGAAATTGGCGCGAGCTCTGGTCGACCTAAATGTGGCGCATACTTTTGTGGCTGGTGCCAGACACAAGTACGTCTGCAAGACGCAACAGTGCTCGATGGTGGGATGTCCCAACTCGACCCGGGACATGAACTCTTCACATGGAAGCGACCCCTCCTCCTGCGACTCTACTACGATCCCTGTGCCACAAGACAATGACCCGCATGTCCTCGATCCTGTCGACCTGGGACATGATCTTCCCCATCCCCTTCGCCCCGAAATTTTGGAAATGGGACGAACCGCCTCAAATTCTACAGTGCAGCCTAATGCATTAGGAAACGAAAATGGGACCCCTTCCAAATCGCGCGGTAGAGGGAAATCTTTTTCAGAGGAAGAGATGCTTTGTCTGGCAAAGGCCTGGATAGCACAGTCCCAAAAGGGTGCAAATCAAAGCGAAAGAACTATGTGGTCTGGTATTGAGTCTATTTGTCGAACTCAGTACAAGATGAACAGAACGGCAAGTTCTTTACGCAGTACATGGCACAGAGTGGCACGGGAGGCGCAGCATTTTATTGCTGCTCGTATGAGAGTGAAGGCAATGAATATATCAGGGGCAAATGATGACATGATTGAACAATTAGCGCAGGAGCAATACAGAAAAAAGGCTGGAAGAAAGAACAAAGATGGAAGCATAACGTATGCTCCAATGTTCAAGGGGACCTCAACAGCTGACTTCCTGAGTGAGCAGGACAAATTTTCTGACGAAGAAGTTCGGAAGGCGGCACGGCGGCAAATAAGGAAGGAGAGCTCCTCCAGCAGGTCTGGAGGACTAAAAGAAGGGGCTGTATTGATGAAGGGATCAAATTTGGAAGACATAAGTACAGCAGAAGACGGTGGTGTTGACAGTCGAAGGGCAAATTCTGCTAACGTCAGTAGTAAGAAACTGTTGCTTTCCAGTGATGAGGAAGAGCGTCCTATGGGTATTAAAAGAAGGAAAGCCGAAGACAGAAAGCAAACGCAAGAAGGGGATTTAAGTAAAAGGCTTCCGGGAATGCAGGACCTTTTGGCAAAAGGAAATAATATTTTTCTTAAGAACATCAAGCAGAAAGAAGTTGCTGACAAAGAGAAAAGAGACATTGAGCTCCTGAAACTATTGGAGCGTGGCTCAGAGCAGTTCAATGCACTCATGAAGGAAGTTATGGACAGACGAAAGGCGGAAGAGATGTAGAGGCACGGGAGCAACCATACTGCGGTTGTAGGAACATGTGGTGCATACGAGTGCCAAGGAAGCGGTAATGAGGTGATACTACGAAACATGGACGAGGACATGAAGCAGAGAGGGAAAGAGGGAGAAAAGTGGGAGAAGATAATAAAACGCTGTTCTCTACACCAGTCTCGTACATCAGTTTAATGCGAAGGACCCAAAATGTTACTGGTGCTGTACCCTTTAGCTCTCCCGTCTCCCACCCCTAGCTCTCCTCCTACCGCGACTTCATCCACTCGTACCCTCAGGGTACGAGTGGATGCAGTCGCGGGAGGCTCCCTTCCCCGGCCTCCGTGTCCTTTTTCAATCCCTCCCCGCCCTCTCCCACCTCTCCCACCTCTCCCAACCCCAACAAATCCACACACGCCACTCCCCCGACGCCCCCACTCCGAGTGCGACATAAAAAGAGTTTCTGCACCTATTCACAAGAACAATCACGCCTCCTTGCCCGTTCCTCCATTTCACATGACAACTCTTCCCTCAAATTTGGAAACTCAACCGAAGAGGTTAAGAAATCCTCTCGAATTTGTAGCTCTTCTATATCAACGTTCCCATTTTCTTGTATTTGAATGTGCGCTTCTGCCATTTGCGTTATCTGCTCCTCTTTATGCTGAGTAGCACGATTACATTCCTCCTCATACAACTCAGTCACGAGGTCAACAGTTTCACCATCATATGTACTCTCGTCTTGAAATATCCCTTCTTGATTCATTCTCACAAGCATGTTATGGAGTATGACACACGTTTCACTGACTGCAAGGACATCACTCTTAAACCAAAGGATCGATTCTTTTCGAAGTATATGAAAACGACCCTGAAGGACTCCAAATGCTCTTTCTATGTCTTTCCGCAAAGCCTCCTGCGCTTCAGTGTACTTACTTTACTTTTAATTTGTCGGATCATGAATGGGTCGTGCGAATATCGTCCATGCTGGGTATATACCGTCTACCAAAAAATATCCTACCCTCCTCGTTTGCCCGTCGCGATGAATTTTGAAGTCAGTAGGAAGCTTAACATCGTACGTACCATTCAGAATAGCCACAAAGAGGGGTGAGACATCAAGCAACGTCTTGTCATTGTTGGTGCCACATCTTCCGGCAAACCAATACCAGATATATAAATCGCGATCACACCATGCCTCAACAGCAATAGTTGCAATGTGTCCTTCTTTCGTGTTTTGATACTGCCCCTTTAGAGCGGCGCGGCAGTTTTTCCATTTCAACTTGCAGCCGTCCACTGATCCAACACATCGCTTAAACCCTGCCTCCCCATACCTATCAGATATTTCCTGCAGCTCTTGTTTAGTGGGAAGACGATTCAAAAAGCTTGCCCCATAAATATGTTGAATAAACCTACAAAATGTTTTGAAGTACTTTCGTAGGGTTTCGCGAGACATTCCGCATCTATCATCTAGGTCATCAAATGATCTACCTGTACCTAGCACCTGTAGGCATGCTTAGACTTTGATAGCCGTAGGGACACCAAAAGGTCCTGCAGCATTCATGCGATGTCCCCAAATTTCATAGAAAGCTGAAGTTAGACCTTGAAGCAATTTCTGAGACATACCTCTTGGAACTCGAAAGCCGCGGCGAAATATGCTCACAGGATATATGGGAGAAGGTCCGAGGTATCCTTCGAACCACGTACTGACTCGCCTCTCGATGTTGCTTGTCCCAGCCGGTCTGCCGGCACGCGTTCGTTTCTTCCTTTTCGAAATTTCTGAAGCAACGCAAAGCGTTGCCGCTACAGATGCGGTTCGGTTTCGCATGAATACAAAAGCGTCATCTTCGCTAGAGCTGTCGAGTTCCATTACGCTCGGTAGCAAAGCGGCTCTGCTCGATTGCAACGGAGGGTCTTTGGCATCTTCGGGACAGAATGTCCTGATCATACTTGGCGGGGGAGCATGATCTAGGAACAGGAGGGTTTTTTTGTTTATTTCTGAGACCATATCGAAATGGATGGCCCTCGTGCAGTACGACAAAAAAACTCATACTCGGCCCCTTGCGGGCCGTCACATATAGCGACGCACTGATTGTGTTGCGCACTCTTTAGAGCGCTGTATGGCTAAAAATGTGCGCTATAAATTAGCGCACTGGTTGCCTTGCTCTTAGAGCACCCCTATCGGTTTGGCTAAATTTGGTGGCTAAATGTGTAAAATTTTGCGTTTGCATATAGCATTTCTGTGCGCAACACTATCGGTTTAGGAGTAAATTTGAAATTGAAGTGCCCTGATAGGGCATAGTGTACGAGGGGTGCGGGGCATCGAGTACGAGAGGTACTGTATTGACACTGTTCTATGGTCTTTTGGCCAAGTGGCGCCATGTAATTCGCGTCTCTATATGGTCAAATGAGTAAATTTGTCGCCATCCGGCTTCCAATATAGAGATATATATAGCCAAAAAGGCCAAATTTTTGGAGATAACCAGTCCGATAGGGATGAAAGAGGCTATATGTATCTCTATATGCCAAATATTTACATATACACAGCACCGATAGGGGTGCTCTTAGCCACCAAATTTAGCCAAACCGATAGGGGTGCCCTTAGTGCTTTGATGTCTGCGACTTCACGTATCCCGCTTGACACCTTACGAAATGGCCCAGTTTTACTTCAGAAACCCACGACACAGAACATGCTGAACAACATGACATTTCTGTGAGCCGAAAAGGTGCCAGATGCTCCGGCTTCTACACTTTGTTGGCCATGAAACCTGTGCTCTTACTGTATGATGCGATATACGGTAGTTTACCCAGAGATACGTGCTGTACCCAAGGGTACAGTAGATCAAGTCATGATGCAAAGCCCTGATACCGGAAAGAGAGGCATGGTTATGTTGGGACGGGCTCTGAGCCCGTCCCAACACAGCATATCACATCAGTGGCAATCGCGCAACGAATGGCCCTTGCGCCTAAATTGAAAATCCATCCAATTGGAAAGCGCTATTGAACAGGACGTCGTTTCAAGCGTTTTTGTTGGATGTGTCCTCTTCATTTTGAAGCTCTAAGAGTCTCGTGACTCGCGCGGTTCTTTATCGACACCTTTCGTTCTGTTTCGAAGCCGCAATTGGCGCGCACCCGGAGGCTGCTAAGAAGGCTACACGCCGCCACCTCCGTTACCGCCGACACTCTCGTGGCAAGGCCCGCCGTGCCCACCAGTCGTTGGTAGCAACAACCATCCATATCGCTGTTCCACTCTGGGCCGGAATCATACCAACAATGAAGGGCAAGAAGTTGGAACCACATGTCCCCACTGCTCGCCGCACCTCGCGGCGCCGAAAGCTTTCACGCCGCTACCTCGACGCTGGCTTTTCGGGACCTGTCGAAACCCAATCGGCATACACTCTCCAGCGTTCGCTACGGAAGATGAGGCAGAGCCAGGATACCCAGCAACGCACGCCTGCAACACCGCAGTTTCCGCGGAGACGGACGAGACGCTCTACGACGCAAGCAGCAGATGAGGATTCGGACTATAAGCCGTACTCGAAACCGAAGAAACGCCCAAGAACGCAGCCTGGCCGAAGCAAGAAACATTCCGAAAGTGTTCCTTCGGCAAAAAATGCCTCTGCTGTCTCGCCGAACTCTTTAATGATCAGACTATGGGATAACACCGCGAAGAGGCTACAAACCGAGCCTGTACCGTTACCCGATTTATGCGGAGCCCTAGCCAAGAACCAAACCCTGTCTCTGTACATGGGGCAATCTAGCTCTAATTTCCCACAGAATCTTTGCAACACTATGCTCTGTCAGGAAGACGTAGACGCATGGAGTTGTGAGTTGTCAACCCCCGGGCTCCATCGTCGTGTCATGATATTTAACCCAAATACCCTTACAGTCTTACCCCACAGTGAAAGTCCCACCGTCAGTGCATTGGAACAGTTCATGAGAAAGGTAGCAAAACAACAAATTCCTGGCAAACAGCTTCGATTATACGCAGGAGAGCATACATCTTTCTTATTTCTTTCTGACGACGTGAGAAATTACGTGCAAAGAATATGCCGCTCTCACTGCAATGTGGCAGATGGCCCTCCCAGTCTGGATGGAGAGGCAGACTGCATATCAGATGACAACTTTGTACTGCACGATCGTGATATCCCGAATGTCTATAAGAGTGATAGCTGCGACGATGAACCAATCATTTCAGCTAGCGCCTGCCTTTCCTATCTCGACGGGGATAGTTCCGAACCAGACATTGAATGCTTACCTTTATTCAGGAGCCAAAGTGCATCTCCAGAGGGATCCCTCTCTGTCCCAATACCTGCCAGTCAGATTGATAATAGTTCAACCGAGGCGTCTTACTTAAATGATCCGCAACGACCCGCTAGATCAAACGTCGATGAAAGACGAAGGTGGGTGTTGTTGGAAGATAGCAGCGGGTCTGAGGAATCAATTTTTGACCGAGTCTTCATGTCAGAGGCTATTAATTCCGATGGGGATTTTCACAGCTCCCAAGAAAGAGATAGTTGTGAAGAAGGGGAAGCCGCCCCTGTGATTGTGAGTCCTAGCTCACATGTAGCAGGGATCGAAGACTTTGAGGAGCCAGACAAGAGTAAGATGGGCAAAATTCAAAGTAAGACCCGCGTTGTTACAAATGGTAAGCAAGGAGGAGCTCAAGTGTGTACTGAGCCCTCGTTAGTGCCAGATATTGTGTTTAGTCGTGGTCAGACCAAATCGTATGGTAGAACTGGAAGAGGGGGATTTCGTACGAATCCTGTCGGCCCCGACGAACTTCCGGTCAAGAGCAAATCGTATTCAACCGACGTTTATATTTGGAACTACGACGAGCACAAGCGAACTGATGTTTTGGTACCTCTGGACGAAGCCATTGAAATTTGTAAACGTTCTACAAGCCCGTTCTTAGGCGTTTACGATGGTCAAGATTACGACTTTGAAGGAGGGCCGCTTTCCCACACCCTTCATATATTTCCGTACGACATTGTGAGATGGGCGAACAGGAGTGTGGCAAAAGATCGTAGAGTTAGAATCTGGAATCGCAGTCAACGCAGTTTTCGGGCGCACCAGTTTTGTCCCATGTTTTCGAGACTTGCAGTTTGGCTACAGCTAAATCCAGACCTGGCTATATTCGATCCTTCAATGATGAGTCCGATATGCACTGCTCGGACGGCAGTGGTAGGACCCGCTTGGCGAAGTTGTTTAGCAGAAGGAGTTGCAAGGTCTTCGTTGATGTTCCGTCGTCTAGTTCGGCGTATTCAGCAAACAGGAGTGACAAAGATTAACGTTGAATTCCTTTCTAGACTAGAATTTTGGAACACAACAAAGAAATGCAAGGAGCTTCGTGACCCGTTTTTCAGTCGGGGTGAGTTAGCCCTTTTTTTGCTTGCCAACCCATGGATTGAAGTTTATTCCGGCCAGGATGAAGTGAGTATTTTGGAACTATCGCTGGGTTTTTATTTGATACCCATTCATACAAATTGCCCTGCACAGCTTGCTTCCTTTTGGAACAAACGCGATGCGAAGAAGTACATACAACCAACTGGTATCCCAGAGTTTGCCGGAAAGACGATATATGATTGCCTTAGGGCAAATAACTCTTTGGAACTGTACTTAGGCCAAGATACTGATCAGCAGCAGGCGATTGCCGATGCCATTCAAAGAGCAAAGGTATCTGGTTCATTCCCCTACGCCTACATGCTGGCATATTGCGGAGAGCTCGGTCGCCAATTTTTGTCCAAGGGATGGGCGGCCGTCCATATTGATGTTTCGAATCGCAATACTGGGTGCGCTGTATTTTGGGACATCAAGGAAAGGTCGCTTCGAATGCAACCGGATATCGCATCATTTTCTTCAATAGATTACTATCTTAGTCGCCATTCGGGTGCAACCGAGCTATACACTGGACAGAATTTATGTTCAAGTGTGCAGAAGGACATCTCCGTATTCTTCAAGATACTAACTTTTCGGCCAGGATATAACTGCCGCACCCACAGGCCGATGCTAACGAGGCAAACATTTATACCGTCTGCTACTTTTCTTAGAGAAGAGCTTGGTCGAAAGTTTTCGGTTGTGAATCACAGCAGCGAAGTATCAGAAAAGCCATCTAAAGACTCGGCGGGGCCACCAGCCGATGGTCGACGCAAGAGCGGGCGCGTGTCGGAACTGCGTTCAGGAAAAGAAAATTTGAAAGCACAGAGCGAGGAGCCACCAGCTTTTCGTGGCGAGGTTCGGTCAGTGTCAACTGAATTAGCCCCTCCGGAAATGCCAACCCCGAAAAGGAATGATGAAGCCTCATCGGACCTTGCGTTTGATGCGTATTTTTCATCGGACGGCAAAGACGACGAAAGCATAGGGCTCCCGGCTCCCCGAACTCTTGAAGTCACTACCTCGAACGATGAAGACGAGCCGGCGGAGAACCTTGAATGTCAATTTCCTACAAATGATCAGAGGCAGTGGGCTAGGAACGCTCGCCCCCCAGTAGAAATGCCTTGTTCCAACTTTTGGGACGCCCTATTATCAAAAGCGAAGGAGAAGGCTAGCAAAATCTCGAGTATGATTAGAGAGGCTGGCCCGAAGATTTTGAACAGACAGCTTAAGCAAGACATTTGCCAAAGTTTGCGCGAAGATTTGTTGCTGGCCGTCGATTCTTCTGCCTCCCTTTTGGTTCTGGCCAGCAGGGCCCGGTCTCCAGATTTCATCTTTGCAGCCTTTAAGCTTTGTTTGAGGCTTGAAGCTTTAGACGTACTTGACTGTTTTTCGAGTTTCTCAGTTTATGGGTACGGACCACCAGACTTATCTTCCATCAGATCGGATCTTGAAGCTGGGAAGATTTCCGGAATAGCTGGTGTTGTCAAAAAGTTTCGGCATGTTTGCGTTGACCTTTGCCATTACAACCAAGACAACGCACTCGTCAACGAAGCTGTTATATTGCAACACAACGGAGAGCAGCGAATCCAAGATTTTTTTGCGGAGAATCATGACCTTGTAGTAGAGGAGGGAAAGATTTTGTCGGTTGCTAATATCTGCGAGAGAGCAAAGAAGATTGGTTTCCAGGAAAACAGGGTGCGTCGAAGTTCGAGAAAAACTCCGTATCAAAAGTCACCACCTAAAGCGCAGCCAAGCATTCGAGTTCCGGGATATCAATCGCAAGTTACGTTTTATAACTACAGGGATGAAAAAGGCTACTCAGTAATGGGAAAGCGGCACAGTGCCCGAGTGTTAGGCCTGTCCATTGATCTGAGGGCAAGTGAAGCCAGAGCGGGAAACGTGCGGCCGTGCCACGTTTGCAAGCGGAGGTTGTTCCAGTCGAAAGGGGATTCTCTACAGTGCTCCAACCATAAATTTGATGTCTGCAAGGAGCTTGTATGTCGCAGTTGTTTAGAGAGTACACTCTCTCTCAGCGAGGCCGAGTTTCATGACTGGCGAAAGAGAGATAACTGGATTTGTATTCACTGCCGTGGGCTTTGTGTAGAGAGGCCCTTGGAACATGATTCTCACGGTCATTTATTGAGGAAAAGCAGAGAGCTTTCGGAGGTTGAAGTGCAATTTAATTGGCACATCTGCGAAATGAAGGCAAACTCTGTAGCACTCGCATTAGCAAGAAGACTGATCAGCGGCCAGTTTTCAAGCCTCGCAGATGGTTTAAGCATTTCGCTTACGAAAGTCGGATCTGGTAAAGAGTGGCAGGCGAAAGCGAAACTGCCTGTTGGTGCATATCGATGCCGTGTTGATGTCGATGAAACATGGAAGTACAGCACAACCTTTCAAGTCTTGCCCATGTCAAAATATCTAAGCAAAATGTGTAGGCAATCAAGCAGCGCATCAGCCGCAAAGCAGGAGTCCGTTTCTTCTACTAGTAGTGAGGTTGCTTCTGCCAAACGTCATATTGAATGGAAGAAACGTGAAGCGATGGAATCGAGAATTTCGCCAGTTCATTCTTTCTCCCAACACGGAGGGGGGTCGTTTGTAGGTAACTGTTCTCGCACGGAAGGGTATGATTGGCAACGGGCGAAACGTCATGCCGTTGTTCACTGGATCCCTGAAGTATCCCAAGAACCGACAACAGAATGGGAGAATGGATCAAATAAGCGTAGCCAGGAGATAACGTTTCACGCGTCAACCGAAGTATTGCCGGGAAGCGTAGAAATGGATGAGTTTCCGAGGTTGAAGGTGGGCATGTCTTGGCGCCAGTTCGAACATGAGGTGCATGCTTTTAAGTTTGACTACATGAGGAACGAGACCCTGTGGGGCGTACTGACAGGAACAAGTCGCATCCACGGAGTTGGTCTGTTCACGCAGACTGGGTATCAAAAAGGCGATTTCGTAATTGAATACGCTGGCGACGTCATTCGAACGCCTTTGGGAGATTTGCGTGAGAAGAGGTACGATGCAGAGGGGCTGGGTACATATCTGTTCAAGATTGACGAGCACAAGATTGTCGATGCAACTGTGAAGAGCAATCGAGCGCGATTCACAAACCACAGTTGCGACCCCAACATGGCGGCGAAGATAGTCAACGTTCGAGGCCGCGACCTGGTTGTGTTGCTGGCGACACGAAACATTCCACCATTTGCAGAACTGACGTTCAATTATCAACTACCGTACGAGGACAAAAAGATTGAGTGTCTTTGTAATTCTTGGAACTGCGTTGGCGTTATGAATTGATGAATTGCACTACTGTAGGTGAAGTCAGGCTTGTGCTGCAGCACCGTTCCCAAGGTTTGATTGTTGCTGCCGCGGAAGGCGCACAGGTGTGAGGTCGCCAATACGGGAAACTGTAGGGGTGAGCGAGCGCCGTTGGGTGGGGTGGAAGGGTAGAAGAGGGCCACCCCACCCCTGATACATCGGGGTCGCAATAGACGGTAGCGAATATGTCATAAGTACTGCCAAGCTGTAAGTACAGTTATCGCAGCCGCGTCTCCCATGTTGGAGGGGAGCTACAAGATGCTGGTGGAATCCCTACTCTACGAAGTCGTGAATGAGCACGTTGTGCTCCGGGCGACGCAGTCGTCCCGTCTCTCTCTCTGTGTACTTCGATGCTCTCCTTCGCTTAGCTACCTACAGTCTGCTTGCTTATGTAGTGTCACCGCGTTGCTCGCTACCCGCTAGTGTTGCTCACATCTCTAACCGTTACTGACAGTACTTGCTTGCTGAACTAAAAGCTAACGGTCGCTTAATGCTAAGGCGCTGAGTGTAGCTCCTGCCCGATGCTTCAAAGTCGCTGACTTCGTCCCTCTTCTGCTTTGCATTGCTTTGCTGTACCGTGCCCGTTCGTTATCCGTGCCGGTTCGTTATCCGTGTCCGTGGCAATCGGTGCTCGCGGAAATCTATGCATTGTGTCCGACGTGTAATCGGTGGCATTCACACTTGTCACACTCCCCCCAGTCGCCTTCGTGTATTTGGCACGAGAATGGAGGCGACTCGATGGCCAAGCGTAGGTGGGCTTTACTTCCAGGTTTCGGAATCTAATACATATCCAGATGACACATCGACCGCGAGGGTTCCTTCAGTGAGAGTGCGATTGAGCAGTGCATAGGTTGATGGGTTTCGCTTGGTTAGGGCGTCGGCTATGTTCTGCGGACCTGGGATCCATCTCATACGGTTGAGTTCACTAGCTTCGAAGCTGTTGCGAATGCGTTGAACGGTTTGTCGGAGTCCATAATCGTTGCCCTCGTGAAGCGTCGTAATGGTGTCGTACAGGCAGCGTGAGTCGACCAGCAGCTCATTGCCGGTGCTGGAGGCTGCAAACATTGAGTTAAGGGCAGTTTTGATGTAGAATCCACGGTCATCCCCATCAGCACATGCCAATATCTCTGCACCATACGAAGAGTAACTCACTCTTCTCTGCTTGTGACTCGTCCAGTCAATCGCGTGGAAGATATCTGGAGCTTGGTCTGTAACGATGCGTAGGCCAGTGATGACACCTGATTGACCGTAGTCCTTGGCCGAGTTCTGGTTGAACGAAGCATCCGAAAATGTGCACACGAAGACTTCCCGGATGTTCTTCGGGTGGCGGAATGTGACCCATGGTTTTAGAGCGAGAAGCTCCTTCACCATCTCATTGGCTGTAATGAGGCTATCAACACTGAGATGGGATATCATCTGTTGCAGTGTAGACGTGGCAAAAGATGCCTGAGGAAGAACCCCGCTTCCCAGATACAGTAGTGTGCATGCGATACTTCGGAACTGCTTAATTTCAGACTCTGTCGCGCGCTCGTTGATTTGTTTGCGTCTTGTGCGTGAAAAAGCAATCGCTTTGATTCGTTCCACGTAGCGGATCATCGACATCTTGACGTTCTCTTCGCTATCTTGTTCGATCTCGAAACCGTTAAAGTGAAAACAGCTGTCCACCACTACCTTGCCGACGATAAATCGTTTGCGGAGCTTAGCCAGGAATCAGTTCATTGCCGCGACGGAACCGCCGAGTAGGAAATCATCGGTGACTTTTGCGACGAGGAGGATGATGCGACCAGTGGGATCGCGCTCCGTGAATAACTGGCTCAGTCCATGGGCTCGTTCAAATCCAGCATCGTTCAACATCCACTCTTTGACCGTCTTCTGCCATTGGCGGCCGGCTTCGACGATACCGTACGGGAGTTTGAGAAGCTTTCATAGAGTCATCCGCGGGCCTCTCCACTCGCGTGGCGGGCGGACAAAGATGTCCCTCTTGATTGGGCCGCTTTGTAGATAAGCCCCCTTTATGTCAGCAGTTGCAAGGCGGAAGCCGAGGAATGTGACGGGCGAGAGAAGAAGGCTGATTACGTTGAGCTGGGCTGTCGAGGAGTCCTTGCGTATGCTGTCTTTCTCATCGTCCCGATTCCCGTGGGGGACGATACGGGCCTTCATGTCGTGGGAGCCATCCTCCTGTGTCTTGACTTTGTAGACCACGTGAGAGGTGATCACGTTTGAATTACGAGGGATGTCGTGGTCGTTGACGGTGGTGTACGCATCGAGCCAGTTCGAGTCGTGCTCATTTTTGAATGCTTCCTCCAAAATCCATGGGGGGCGAAAGCGATCTTACTGGCAGTGACTTGTTTCGGCCAATCACATCATAAATTTCGGACATAATGTGTTTGCGGTTGGACTGTAATTCGGTACTGATATCCTGCGCGTGCTTTAATGCTGTCTGTGCGTATGTTCCGACATCGTCTCTGGTCCTCTTCTTTTGATGACTGGTGTTATCAGTATCCGCGAGGGTACTCTGCGTTGCAAAGAGAGTTGGGATCTGTGGTGCTGTGGAGTCGGGAGTATCAGTTTTGACTGCTGTAACTGTGCCTGGCAAGCGCAATCATAAGTGCAAGGGACTTGGGGAGGCGTTTCCGTCGGTGCTGTCAGGAGTTGTCGGTCGTTCCTCGAGCGTGGATTCGACGGAGCAAGACATAAGCTCTGCGGTGAGCTGACCGCGCGGTGTCACGCGGACGTCCTCGTACGCGGCTCGCATCGGTCTTTCATGTTTGGATCGTCGTACCATGAGGCAATGCTGCTGAGCCTCGACGACGGTCGCGGAGATCCATTCATTTTTCTCATTTTGTTTTGTCGACCGGTAGAAGATCCACACCTTGTCGCCAGGGGAGAACATCGGTGGTGTGGGGCAGTGTGGCGTGCGGGATTTTAGCAGGCGCTGGAGAGCTCTGGTGGCGACTTGCTCTTTGTGCGCTCGGAGAAGTTCGTCTGTGACTCTGTTGGATGGGATCCCGAGTATCGACGGGCTGTAGCCACGAACGAGTTCATAGGAACTGAGGAGTTTGTTGCCAGAGAACATGTTCGACAAGAACACTGCTCGGGCGACTATTGTCGCTGGGCTTGCATCGCTCACTTCTTTGTCAAGCCTGGCGATGATTGCTTTTACAGTACCGTTTTTCCGCTCAACGATACCGATCTTATTATGACGTCGTGCTGGTTTGGGGCGAAACGATATTCCGTGGATGTCGAGGTACGTTCGTAGGGGGCGGCGACTATACTCGTCGTCGGCAGTGATTGCTGTCGGTGCACCATGGCGATATATCCATCCTGTCTCAATGTTGTGTTTTATAGAATCCATGGATCTGTCGTTAGTGATGAACATCTCGGAATATCCTGTGCCGCTGACGGACAGCGGTAAGCGATCTCTTGCTACTGCGTAATGCGCAAAAAGGTGAAGTCGATTTGAAGCTCCTCATTGAACGCTTCGTTGACATGGGTCAGTGATACCTTCTTAGACGACGTAGGCCGGCCGCTGCTGGTGCAGATTTCGCATGCTGTCTCAACCTTCTCGATTGCAGCCTCGAGCGATTCATCGAGTACACTGGCATCGGCTAATATCTCCTTGATCTCATCCGCTGGTGCGTGTGTGTAACGATGTATCTTTTTGGAGAAGGTGATGTCGTGCACTACAGCCACGGGTGGCGGCTGTAAGCAGACCAACGCGCGTTCGGACGCGTAAGGAAATTCGGGAGACCACCCGGTGGATGACCGGAACCGGGATCCGGGCGCGGCTTGCGCGGTAGAAAAGTAGCAACGTAGGCAGCAATAAAGGAGGAAGAATTAAAGGAAAAACAGAACGAACAGAGCGGACAGAACAGTAGTTAACGTAGCGCTCGCGCGGTAGGGTCGACGCGCGCGGGGAAGGCAGTTGGGATTCCAGGGGTGTAGATGGCTCGGTCGGTATGGGCGAGCCAGTACCGAGTCGAGGCTACAACCTGGAATCCAGAAACCAAGGTAAAAGACCCGAGGCTTCGTGCCTCTTTATTTTGATAATCGGGTTGATTATATAGTCCCCCGTCGCCGCAATGGCGAAGCTAAATTATACTGTAAATAAGAATAACTAGGAAATAACTGGTGTAGCCCCGAGGGGACCAAGTACAGCCCTCATAGGCCCTATGGGTTGCGGCGGGATTACACTTGTCCACGGGGAGGTCCGGTAGAGCGGCAGGGGAGTCCACGTGTACCCGTGGTACACGTGGTGGCGGCGAGCGCGATTTTTGGCCGGTAAGGACAGCTGTCCCGGTACCGCGTGCAGTGCACTACAGATCCCCCTTAGAGAATCACGCGTCCCCGTGTGTATGTACAGTAGAAATAACCGCCCCTTGAGCTGACAGCGCTAAGGCCACCCAGTGAGAGTTTGCTGGAGGTTGCATGCGGCGGAGAGGATCAGCGAGCGACGAAAAGCCAGTCAGTTTGCCCTGCTTTTCTTCCTTTTCTTTCTGTTTCCTTTGGCAAGCTTGAATTCCACTCCGGTGCCGGTTGTGAACGCCCGATCGTTCCCGAGTTCCCGTTCTCCCCTTTTTCCGAGCTCCTTCCTGTCGCTTGTAAGCTGCCGCTTTCCCCCTTACGCCGCTGCAGCGGGCGGTTACGTCGCGCGTTCTATAAGCGGGGACACACTGTCTTTGGTTGGCACGACGAGTGATGGAACGGTTCCATAATCCGTACGGAGAACCCGAGAATACGAGGGCCAGCTGGAGCGAGTGGCCGGCACCGCGTGAGTTGCGAGGCAAGACGCTGGCAGATGACCCGCTATTGTTCGAGCGGGCGCCGTTTCTGAGCGCCAAGGGTCTACGGGAGAGCCATCTAATTCGTTCTTACGCGGACGTCACCGGGGCTTTTCCCGGGGGGCTCAGGTTACGAGCTGTTTGGTCGCGTGACTTTTCCTTCCGCCTCGTTGTGGAGGATGAGCACGTGTGGCCGAAGTATCGCCGCGATGGGCGTGGACGACGCGAGAAGTATGTAGCTGCCCTCGTGCGTCGGCTTGCACGGACGCCGTGTAACCGCCCTATCCCGATCGAGTGGGATTTCGACACATGGGCGTTTCGTACGGAAGGAGACCGTGGATATGTCGCCAATCTGCGGCGTATCTTGGACACCTTGCCGGAACGCGTCGAGGAGCCGGCGGTGGGGTATC